CTCGATATGAATGATTGATCTGTATAAAATTTTGATCGTTTCATGTGTTATTTATAGCTTAGATGTATACTTCACAATGAAAAAAATTTCTTAATCTCTATTGTAATTATATTATCTTTTGTGGATCGTTGAGAATTTTTTTTCTAATCTCTAATGTAGTTAATTGAGATGAAAGTAATATCTTATTCTATTGGAATTATTTTTTTTTTTGTAGAAATTAATTCACAGATTAGAAATAATTGAATATATCACCTCGATGTTGGATGTTTTCAGAATGAAATTTTTTTCCTAAAATCTTCTAATAAACTGGAAATAAGCCTTCGCCGCCATAGTTCCGATGATTTTGAGGAATGTAGAAGAAGAAAACGATTTCTAGAGATATCAAGTAATGTTAGTAGGCCCATTGTTAAATTGTTTAATGCAACTTAGACCTTTAATAATTGATTAGATTATGATATTAATTGAACCTGTTTGGCATGTAAAAATAGTTGGGTTTAACATTTTTTAAAGAACGTATGTTTGAAAAAAGAAATAACAGAATATATGTATTTTTTCTAAACTTGTAGTAAAATTGAAATAATCACGTTTTTTTAATATTTAAGACTTTTAAATTAAGGAAATTTCATAATATATAGTATCTAAAATTGAAATAGGATATTAAATCCACAAAAACGGAAATTACTTGAAATTATGAGTTTATAAAATAAGAAAATCACGTCTTATTTTTTAATTAACAACAAAAATAAAATTAACATAATTCTAAACGTTGACATGGCATGTCACTATTGATTGATTTAAATCTTATGTGGACGTCTTTAGGAGTTTATAGCCTCAACTTTTATATAGTAGAGATTTTGCATATGATGAAGTGTATGTGCCATACGATTTTCCAATGTTTTATTAATAGTCATGGAATAATTATAAACAAAAACACGTGATGTGAACGCGTAGTGTTATTCTTCACTTTTAACAAAAAATAAATAAAATATATATTCTTCGCAATATCAAAGATCGAAATATCGTTTCATCGCCAAAATTAGTGGTCTATATTCCCTACTTGCATGCTTACCAATAAATATGCTACTATTCAATCAAATGTGACACAAGCCTTAAACGAACAACGAAGTGAAACGCTACATTTAACCCTTTGTTGGAGTACTTTGAAGCAACTAATTAAAAACAAAATTTGTTTTAAAAAAAAAACTAATTAAAAAACAAAAGTAAATTTTTGTTTGAATCTAGTTATATATACCTTTTTATATTAAAAAAATACAAAATACTTTTATATTATACAGAAGAGCCCTCCTTAATGAAGAAGATGCTTCAAGATTGTCGGTATGACGTATGCTCGAGCCTTGAGCACATGCAACATGTTCCTCACA